AAGAAGTAAAGGACATGATTCAGCAAGGTTATCGCTTTTGAGGGGGGCCGCCCTGGCTTTTGCAGACTTTAGCCACACAGTCAACGTAGCTGAACATATCCAACAACTGCGGAAAAATGGTTATCACTTTTGAGGAGGGCCTAGCGATTTTGTAGGTGTTGGCACACTTCCTGAAAATCAACAGTCATTCTTTACTAAATTGGTCATTGCACGTTTTGGCCGTTGCTCATATCTTCGAATGCTCCCTCTTCCTGATGTGGTCAGGGAGCCTTACCATCCCTCTCTAGGGTGGCCAGTGACCCCTCCATTTACGGTACAGAACATGCGAAACAAAGAAGCACGGACGCTACTAGGGGCTATTGGCCTTACTACTAGGAGCAATGAACCCTTGTGGTACGGGGCCACCCTGCGTATCTCTTGTCTTTCTACAAATTTAAAATTAATGAATAACAATAATAATGTATTGCGCAGACGAACGAGATGACGAGCCCCACGTCTTCCGAGACGTCTCGCTCACAAAGGAAAAATATACGTCTGGCCATGGCTCCGCCATGGCTCCGCCATGGCTCCGTTGTGCACTGGCTCCGAAAGTGGATATCCAAAGCTCTTGGAGTCTTGGTCTTTGTTTGCTACACTTTTGGCACCACATCCTTCTAGGACCAAATGGCTAACAAGGACATGATGCAAAATCCCAATAGCGCCACCATAAAACTCTGCCTCCTCCATGTGACCTTTCCCAACAGTAAAGCAGGCATCAGCATGTCGTAGGTGGCGATTGCAAGCAAAAGCCCTGATGCGAAGCAAATCAACCCAGCGGAGATTGAACCACTGAAGTCTTGCATGAGTAGCATTCCCAGGATGATGCCCACGGGAGTCATCAGGGCCATAAACACCATGGACAGCCACCAACACAGCTTTGTAACACTTGGCATCATCAAGGATCCCAACGAGAAGGCGGCGAAGCCCTTGTGCGCCAAGATTGCAATGACGGTAGGACCAAAGGACCCCATACCTTCAGCAGCACCGGCAGCAGTTCCAGCCACCAGCGAGTGCACACACAAGCCAAACAAGCCCTGAGGACATGTGGTGCGTCCGGCTGGCGGTGAACGAAGCTATCAGGAGTCCTTCTAAAATCTAGGGGGTTCAACAAAACAAACAATCTAAACACAAGCAAAAACCAGGGATCCAACCAAGTTTCGCACCAAATTGGAACACAAATTAATATCAAACCTGAGAGGCAGATAGGCCACTAACACAAGAGTGTTGATGGCTCAGCTCCACTAGATCTCGTCCAGGGCTGCTGGAAGCAGAGCTGCTGTCATCTTCCCAATTCGAATGAGAGGTATGTTCCTGCTGACTTGGATACTCATGACATCGCTACTAGTAGCAAGGACGCTACTAGGGGCTCCTGGCCTTACTACTAGTAGCAAGGACGCTACTAGGGGCTCCTGGCATCGCTACTAGGAGCAAGGACGCTACTAGTAGGAACAACTAGTTCTGAAAACGACCAAATTGGCCACCCACGGGGCCCACGAGTTCTGATCTGGAGGGATGCAGGATTGACTGTTGAGGAAGGGATGATCTTTGGGCAATTTTTGTGTGCTGCTCTGCCATATATTTAATATCAGAGCCGTTGGGCTGCAATTTGAACACATCAAACATGTAGTAGGAACGTCGTTAAGGGTGATTTTTCCTTGGTAATGATAAATAACTTGACGAGGAGTCAGGTGAGTCATTGTCTTGACGCGTATTGGAGTGAAGTGAGGATCTGTGAAATGATGCGGAGAACGTGATGAAATATATGTTTTCATGATGTAGGACGGAGTTTGTGGTGTGATGTTGCAAGAGGTAGCACGTTGGACGACAAACCATCTTCTGAGCCCAAACAGAGCCCACAGCTTGCAGAAGCAGTTCTGAGCACAGACATAGCACGGAGTGCGTGTATTACACGGGTACTATATACAAGACAGCCAGTTCTGACAAAAGCCACTTCGCACACTACTTATGACTTATGCGCCCGAAAGCTACTAATGTCTTGCTGCTTTTGCTAAGTTTCTCTACAAATCTCTTCTTCTTGCTACTTGCTACTTCTCTATTCTCGCACCCCCTTCAAAGCATTCTGCATGCTCCGATTATAGGCTTCCCCTAATATAGGCTTCCGCAGACCGCAGGCCTGTTGCGTCCGGCATATTCCATTCCACTGCAGAGCCAAGCACCGAAACACCTGCTGCCTGCACCCGAATTCATTCCAAGGGAACGCCCTGCCATCCTCGCTTTTCCCTCTCGTGGGATTGCGCGCACGCGCCAACTGCAACTGTTCATAACTCGGAACTGTCTACATATACTACTAGTAATTGAAACTTCCTTTGACAAAAACACTCGTGCTTGAACGTTGGAGCTTGCATCAAAACTGTTTGTTCGCTGTGTATGAACTGACCATTTGGGATGTCCCCCATTGTTTGTTCTTTTTTTTCAGGGTTTTGGTCTTTCCACATCTGTGTGGCATTCCAAGCACGAAATGAATGTGGACGAGCCGGGTAGGCAACGACGGGTGGATAGCAGCAGCAGTCTAGCAGCAGCAGACCAGCATATAGAGCAATTATTCCACTCGCTTGTGGGGTCTAGGAAGGCTGCAATCCTGGAAAGCCAAATGACAAAAACATTCTGGTCATTATGGGAAAAAGCCGTAAAGTTCAGTTTTTGCTGTCTTTAAATACTAGTTTTACCCGTAGTGACCAAAAAAGATTGTAAAATCAAAAGACTATGGCAGGCCTACCAGTAGCAAAACCGTATTTGTTCAACTTGTTTCAACAACATGTTGAAAAACGGCCGAACTCGAACAAAGCGTAGCAACTCTTCCACAAGTGGACAAGTGGCTCCAAATAATCAAAGTCGTAATGACCGAGGAAAAACACATGGTCAAGGCCATTTGACCAAAACAAATGTTGTGGCTTTCCAGCATAATTGTTGATCGTGTTTCTATGGTTTTGCTAGCTTGCTCCTTATGGGGAGCAAGCTAAGCAGTGTAGTCTGGTGCCTAGTGAGCCTGGTGTAGTGCATTTTTGTCGGTCACGAGAGGTCATCCCATACCCTAAACAGCTTGAATTGTTTTGTTTTGAAGTGGCGGTTGACTTGGCTTGGCAACAAACTGGAGTTGTTTGGGGGGAGGCGCGGCTGGAAGCCCAACACCACCAAGTGCCAAGCCACCAAAAGCTATCACATGCCAACAAAAGCTATCAAAACCGAGCCATAAAGATCCAACAATGAGAACCAACGCAAGCCATTAAAGAAAGCAAAAACGCAACCACCAAGACCACACAAGCCACCAAAACCCAAAAGAAGCCACGCCAAAAGCCACAGAGGCCACAAAACCAAAAGCCAAAAGCAACAGGTAGAAACATACAATATCAAAAACAAACACAACAACAATAAAAAACATGGCCCTTCGTCTAGAACCCACCTGTTTTGGAAGTCTTGGAGAACTTGTTCGGTATCTTTCTTCTCTCCTGAGATCTATCTGGCAAGAAGACGGCCACACTCACATTGGTCAGAAAGCCCAGGCCGCATAGAGCAAAGCCCAAAGGAAAGGAACCGTCTTCAGTGCCTCCAGGGCAACAAGCAAAATCGGTTTGGACGTGGGCAATGGTCGAGACATATGTCTCATAATCATAAGGCAAAGAACAAACACATGATAATATCATAAAGCGGTGTCCACTCAGAACTGGCCCCTGCACCCATTTTGGAACTGACATGGCTGTACACTTCACTTTCCCTACTGACTTATTATATATACATGTACATATGTTTTTGTTGATATGATGTGTCCGTGTTTTTCTTGTTTTGAACATGTTAAAGACAAAGGCAGCAAGTTCATCAAAAGAACCTCCGCGCATTCTCTCTTGCCTTCGGTCCTAGAAACGGTGGATGGAATCAGCCTCAAAGCGTTTCCGTTCACCCCATCATAGCCTAAGGTTAAGGAATCCCCAGCCTACTTTTGCCACCTTCAGTCTGTGGCTGTGGTACTCTCTTAAGCCTAAGGTCTTTTCCGGTCTGTTTGTCATTTGGACTGTCACGGATCATCCGCTCATGTGAATCAAACTCAAGACCGACACGGATCATCCGACTCTGAAAGTCGACAGTCCCTGTTCGCCCCCAGACAGGCCGCCTGTGAAGAACTGGAAAATGGACGTCCCGGCAGCATCCAGATCACCGGAATTATCACCTTGGAAAACACATTGGAAGATCTGCAGGGTCAAGCTCATTGGAAGATCTAATTATCACCTCGTCTAAGTCTCAGTTCTTTCCCAGAAGATCCCAGGGTCACATTCACCCAAACCAAGGAGGAGTCTTCACCAGGTCACTCAACATGTGCACCAGCGTCACGGCCAGCAGAATGCCACCGGCACCAGAATTGATCACTCCAACCACCTGACGAGAGGAGCAGATGTGAGGAGCTCTACCACTTCGGAGGTGCTCTACCACCATGGAGTTGGGCGCCGAACGTGGTGCGTCGTGGTCACGTGCGACGACGGGACGGGAAGAAACGACAAAACCACTCGACTCCATGGAAATGGTGGTGCAGATGTCCATGCAGAAGATTCGATCTTGCTCCCGACTCCCTGGATGCCCACATTCTTCCGTGTCCCTGAAAGTGAACAACTGGGAAGCCTCGGTAGCAAAGTGTTGGTCGAATGGTCGCATGCAAAGGCACTGCATGGTTGGTTTGGTGTGGGAGAGGTGTAAGAATAGCTTCAACATGCTTCAACGTTCAAAGTCGTTCAACAATCCTGGTTGTCACCACATACCTAGGCCTTTTCCATCCACCTGCACGTCTCCGTTGTCCGCCGGGGGCCTTGGGCGCCAGGTGGCTGGTGACGCGACTGAGCACCGCTGCGACGAGGGCCACCGTGAAGATCATGGCCGCGCTGATCAACTTCATCGCGACGTCAGAGACCATGGCGACGCGGAGGACCAAGTTTCGTGGTCGAGGCGAAAGCGCAAGCGAAAGCGTCAAGGGACGCGATATCGCGTCAGGACGTGAGAAGCACGTGGACTCACGAGGAAGAATAATGCATGTTATGGGTTTGATGATCATTCAATTCAAGAGGTGCCTTTTGCATCCAAACACCTTGTAGTGTTGTCAACATAGCAGCACCACCCTATCATTCTAATAGCATTTTTCAAATGCCGGAGCCAGGGTGCCATTGATCCAGAGTTCCATGCTTTTCTGCGGAGAGTGACACCCCTCACAAAACAGCTTCCCTCCAGCTTCCCTCGAGGGAAGCTGAAAGTATGAGATGTTCATCCAGATGTTTGGGCAATCACAACCAGCCAGCTTCTTCAAAGTGACCTTTTGACGGTTGCTAAGTGACCCTACTCGGAGGCTTAAGTGACCTCAAACCATCAAAAGGTCACTTTGAAGAACCAGGAGGGGTGCTTTTTTGAGGTCACCACATTTTTCAAGACCTGGGGAGATGGCTGAGAAGAAAAACTATTTTCTGGTACACGGTTAAGGCTGCATTGTTTAGAGAAAACAAGCACATCTTCCATTCTATTACAATTATATAGGTTATATAAGGTTTATGTTTGGTTGGTTGTGATCCACCGATATGATATCATACTTGTGATGTCCATACGATCGAGACTCTCGGAGCAAAACTTTGCATACTGAGGTGGTTGGTTAGATACCAACATAATTCAACATAACTTCACGGACTGGTTTACCCTGCGCATCCTTTTACAAATCAAAACAATCGTAATAATCGTATCGATTCTGGTTGCAAACGTACCGCGTGTCCAAACGTGCAACAAACGACGATCGATCATGGTCACCCCAGTCTTTCGAGAGTCTCTTCGAGAGAGCGAGGGTACCAGGACGTGACAGCCCAAGGGTACCAGGACGTGACGGGTACCAGGACGTACTGGCCAGAGTTCATCTGGCCACGACTCTCAAACAGGGTTAAACAGGGAGCCACCCATTGGTTCAATGGACATCCAAAGCTCGTCTTGCATCCCTGCTTGTGTCTCTTTTTGCTTACGTTCTGGCACCACATCCTTCTAGGACCAAATGGCTAACAAGGACATGATGCAAAATCCTAATAGCGCCACCATAAAACTCCGCCTCCTCCATGTGACCTTTCCCAACAGTAAAGCAGGCATCAGCATGTCGTAGGTGGCGATTGCAAGTAAACACCCTGCTGCGAAGCAAATCAACCCAGCGGAGATTGGACCACTGAAGTCCTGCATGAGTTGCATTCCCAGGATGATGCCCACAGGAGCCATCAGGGCCAAAGTCACCATCGACAGCCACCAACACCTCGTCGTAACACTCGGCATCATCAAGGATCCCACGGAGAAGGCGGCGAAGCCCTTGTGCATCAAGATCGCAACAACGGTAGGACCAAAGGACCCCATGCCTTCAGCAGCACCGGCAGCAGTTCCAGCCACCAGCGAGTGCAAACACAAGCCAAACAAGGCCTGAGGACACTGGTTCTGCGTTGGGGCTGGATTCTGAAGTGAAAGAAACTGTTGGGAGTCTTGGTAAAATGGCACTCAATCTTGGGGTTCAAACAATGGCTTGAAAAAAGAAACAAGCACGTGAAGACCAGACATCGAACCAAGGTTTGAAATAAGTCTTCCAAAGTTGTTACTCTCAGAACCTAAGAGGCAGATAGGCCACTGGCACAAGACTGTTGATGGCTCACCTCCATTGTGTCTGGCCCAGGGCTGCCCGAATCAAAGCTGCTGTCATCTTCCCAAGTCGAAAGAAAGCCATGCTCCTGGTCCTGCTGACTTGGATACTCATGACACTCAAAACTCTACACTCACAACTCAAAGCACTTGATCCAGGGCTCTTGGACAAGTGAGAAGTTCTATTTACTGGACAACAGGTTGCTGCCTTTTTTGCATTTGCCTTCACTACCACTTCGTTTTTCGCACTACAGGGAGACCGAGCCATGGTCACGGTCAGGCAACGCAGATCATATATATATATATAACCACCACACCCTCAAATAGTTGAATCAAGAGTCTGGCCAGTTCCAGGTGGTTGTAACGGTGGGTGCCGGGAAATCAACTAGACTTGGGTACTACTGAAACTCGACTCTTCGAGGGCTCTTCTTTTCTCCTCGAACTCCTCTGATTTATCTGGCCAGAAGACGGCCACACTCACATTTGCCAGAAAGCCCAGGCCGTATAAAGCAAAGCCCAAAGGAAAGGAACCGTCCTCGGTGCCTCCAAGGTTGAAACCAACCAGCAAAGAAACCAACCAGGACCCTCCAAGTTCCATTAACCACCCCTTGAAGGCCCTGGAATAAGGTGGTTTCAGAGTAGATGGCACAAACCCCAAGACGTCTTAGACATTTGAGGGTCCATATAAGTCACCTTTTGGAGAAGACTGCCATCGTATGTCATCTTTTCTCTAAAACCACTTCCCGTTTGGTCTTCGTTTTGATGTGTGTAATCAGGAGTCAAATGAGCTTGTGTTATTTGTTTTTATTTGTTTTTAATGTCTTTGTTTACTGTCCATTCATGTCTCATGTCATTGGAAATCCATGTCGTCATGTCATCAGTACTGTATGTGTCAAGTGACCTACTCCCCGCGACCCCATCCAGGCGTTCACGCCTCGAAGGGATGAACATGGCCTCCGAATATAAAACAAGTACAACCTCCAACTGGTTGATGGTGGTTGCCCACTTATTCAGGCGGTGTCAACATGCCAAAAACATCGACAACTGGAACAATACCTGTACCTACCCTAGTCCTCCTAGTCAGAGTACAACGGACACACCATCCAGAATGTTCTGCCTGGGCGCTTGGGATCAGGAGCTACTCATTTAAAGCTCAAGAGATCGGTCATTTGGATCATCCCTTGTGTGATTCTATCTTGAGGCTGTCCATGTGACTTACAACGAAGCCACCGTTTCCAGTCAAGTTCTCTCCCCAGCTGCTTTGGCCATGATTTCTACCGCCCCTCAGAACTCTTGGCTCACCTGGAGATTCATCCGTCATGAAATTCTTGGTGGTTTTCATCTTTGCACCATGTCTTAACGCAGGCGCCCCCGAAACCAAGCAAACGGTTAAAGACTGTAGAACGCTGGCAAATGGCCACAAACCGCTCGCAAAGGCAAGCAACAAAAAAACAACAGCCATCACACATTGCAAAACACCCAAAACGCCTAAACCACCCATAAAATCAGAAGTATACCTTGTCACATAAAATCTCCAGAAATACTGTTTGTAGCCAATCCCCAAATTAGCCACTACCAGTATACTTGGAATTTGAGCCAAGAGTCTTTTCCCGGGGATGATGCCCAGACCGGGCAGTGCGGGCGTCATTTCTCCCGCCTGTGAAGAACTTGAAGATGGACGTGCCTGCGGTGTCCAACTCCCCAGAGTTGTCACTCAACATGTGCACCAGCGTCACGGCCAGCAAAATACCACCCGCGCCAGCATTGATCACTCGGACCACCTGAGAAAGGGTGAGGTGGTACGTAGAAATCCTGGATTGTGCAGGACAAAGTGTGCACACAAGAAACAGTTTTGAAGCCAACAAAAGGTGCATTCTGTGTCTCTCAACTGGGTGGGGGATATGGAGTATGTCCATGCAGGGGAACCCCCCTGCCTCTCGTGTTTCGTCTTGTAGCTAGCTCCAATCATTATACCTAGCACTTCCTGTCGTTGGGTCCAAAGGAGACCTCTGAATACTTTAGAGTTGTCCATTCTTTGGGAAGCAGCGGGTATAATCGATTTGCAATCTACTAAGTGTCCCCAGTCATCACCCAGCACTGCGGATATGCCGTTTGCGCGCCGTTGTCCGCCGGGGGCCTTGGGCGCCAGGTTGCTGGTGATGCGACTGAGCGCCGAACCGATGAGGGCGACCGCGAAGATCATGGCCGCGCTGATCAACTTCATCGCGACGTCCGAGACCATGGCGGGCCACGGACGACGCGAGCCGACCACGGCCCGTACGGTCTGTGCCGGGGCCGGTGAAGTGAAGGACCACGCAGCGGAGGTGAAGTGAAGCGTTTGTTTGAGCATCAGTGAAGCTTGCGTCTTCTTAGTCCTCTTGGTGGAAAGGAGTCGGAGTCCTATTGAAAAGAACAGGTTCACAAGAAAACATACACATGAAAAAACAGGTCTTTGTTTATTGGATTGATTAACGTTGACGGGTGTTATTTTTTGTAGAAATATTGCGGCCGTGAAACAACTTGTTTCTGTCTGAATATGTCTGCAGGTACATTGGGCCTATTCACCATTTACACTCGTTGTGCTTGTAAAGGTATGTGCCAGGTTGGTGAGTACTTCCATTGTCAGATTCCGATGCTCTGAATGGTACGTGACCTTGAGCCAGCTGGTGCCATTCCAGTGAAAAGTCAGTCTACACTCCCTGAAATAATCATGGTTATGTGGAGTGAGTTGACCACCTGCTTGGTATTTTCGGATTTCACGGTCCGAAACCGAGTCGTCCGGGGTCATTTGCCGGACTCGACTTCCATGATTCTCTCGAAGAGAACCATTGTAGAACCTTGATTAAGTTAAAACCCTCCATATTGATGAAGGCTCTTCCATTCCAAATGGGTGGATGTGATTAATCAAGATTCTACATTAAGGAAGCAAGCTGTGAACAAGGTCTCTCTCGCAATGTGGAAGGCCGGGTGGGTTTGATTGATCTTCATTAGTCCCTCTATACTCATGTGCCAGTGCCATCCCCACAAGACCCTCCAACACCACCCGAACTGGGCTGGTGGAGACCTTGGCTTCACCGCTGACTCCGCGGTGACGGAGTCGCCCGAGTCCGCTTGATGCGAGGCCGGTGACCACAAGGAAACCCCGAAACCAACAGAGGTATCCAGTGACCGTAAATAGGACTCGTAACCACGGGTACCTATAGTATAGTCGATAGGGTTCTTCAACCTCTGCTGGAACCACTAGTGGTTGGTATGCGGAAAATGGTAGAAACCACGGCTCAATGGTCAGGGTCCACTTTCAGATCGACTGACCACCTTGATCTTCAAGCCAATCATGTCGAAATAAAGAAATCGAGATCCCCCCCAGATACACTCCCAGGACAAAGCGACTAAGCATAGCAAAGCAAACTAACGCCCACGTTTGGGTGGAGGGTCACTCTATAGTAAAGTACACAAGCAATATTTGTGTTAGTAACGTGGTTCTCTTTCTTGTATTTTCAAGAGCTCCATCATCAGTCTCCGGGGACAAGTTGGAAAGCTTCACTCCTCCTCTCTCCAATTGTGGTTCTTCAGTGGCAGCCCTCACATCGCCACTACAATATACTACAATACAAGCTACTGACAAGCGGGGTTAAGCTACAAAAGGAGGAGCTGGTCAATCTGTGAAGAAAGTTCCACGAATATCCAACATCATGGACGGCCTCCAGATCGACAAGAAGATGGGGCTGAGTTTCTATCTTGGCCAAATAGAGTTAGAGGGCAAGTCTAAAACCCTGGTGTGGATTCTCATACCCCTCAAAGGTTGCAACGTGCAAGTCAAGCTACCAGTGATCAAAGACCACCAAATACCAAAAATACACCAAAATGTCTGCCAGGCTCCCTGCATCATTGGCCATAAAGCAACGAGGCTTAGAAGCTCCACATCTCAAGAAAATGATCCTTCAGTCCCCCCAATCCTGCAAACCCATATATAACTTCAAAGATTTATTATCTTAGGATGATCCTTCAAACCCCATCCTGGTTTTGATCTAGTCACCTGGTTTACGATGTCTCTACAGCTCAAATGTCTCTAATGCCTCACCATGGGGGTTTCTCCGATGCTCTGCTCCGTGGGCCGTTGGGTGGAAGCTGCGCCTGCCAAACTCCTGGGTGGAAGCTCATGCAGCACCTGTAAGGTCTCTCGCGCCACCTGCCGCAAGTCGTGAACTCTGCAAAGAAGATCAGCAAAGAACTCAGAATTGGGAGCTGGTTGGGGGGGGTGTCCACCATCTCGCCTGCTGTTCTCTCGGCGTTGGCGTCAGACTGCGGGTTAGAGTGTTGAAACTTCCACGATTGGGTTGATGATCTCACGTGGTTTTTGGTGGGAGACACCTAGAAGTCACCAGCTCTAAGTGAGTGGCTTAGTCAGGCTTCGTGCACGTCGTGCACCTGGAGTTTCATGTCAAAAGTGGTTCGAAGAGAACGTAGAGGTGCTGATGATCCACTTAGCCGGGGCTGCCGATGATCTCAACAACTAGAACCATGCCTCATTCCCCCTTGGAACTCATGTTCTTGATGAGAATCTGTCAAGGCCTTGGAACGCATGAGGATCCCACGAACAACAAACCATGAAGTCCCATCCCATACATGTCCAGCAGTTGCTGGGGGGCTCAGAAAAAACATCGAGTGAGTGGACATTCACCTCTAAATACCGTGCAAAACCACCGGTGTTCAGAACTCTTGGGTTTAGTCATCCCAGGAGTCATCCATTCTGGTCATCCATTTGGCACTCGGCTTTCGCTTGCGGCCTCCTCCATCAATGTGTCAGTGGCTTTGTTCGTACTCGCGAAGGCCCAGGCGATCATGGAGATGTCCACGAAACGAGCACCACGCAGGGCAACAGTTGCTGGTTCCACCTCGTAGACCGGGGGCGGTACTGCAACTTGCCATGCCGGTTTCTTCCCTCTTTCTACAGAGACGAACCTGTCGTCGGAAGAGGAAGCATGCGACAGGATCTCAATACATGGTCAGTTTCCGACCTCGCGTCACACGAGATCTCATGTGACCTGTCCAACCCCTTGTTTCCCAGGTCGATAGATCGAACCATGCGGATGTCGACACCGGATTCATCAACCCGCTCCCCCTGAAAAACCGGTCAACGAGGGAACGACATAGGAGGTGGATGGAGACCAGATCCCCTAAAGGTCATGGCCTGATGGATGATGATGGCATTCTGCGTAAACCATGAGGTGTGAGGGGTACCCGCCGGGTACCCTTTGTGAGCTTGAAAACCTTAAGATGATCATGGAGTTTAAATCAGGGAAAAATACATATTTTTGCTAGAATAGGGGAGGTTTCTGCCAAGGAATATTGTTTTGTTGATTAGGGGTGTGCCAATGTGAAAACTAAGGTTTTAAACGTGTTCTACATTATGTAGTTTGTTTGTTGGGGCTGGAGCTGGGCTTGATTAATAAGGGGAGGTTTGCTGATCCTGTGTGCACATTGTAATATATATATATATATATGTAAGCATAAGGATTCTACATAGTTTCTGCAATTGGGTTCACCATGGTTCACCCACTAAGTACATCATTTACTGGCACTCAAGTGTTCAAGTCAAGTCTGTAATTCAAACACCTCTCGAAACAAGCCTGAGAAGACATGTGTCCCAATTCAAGTGTGCTCTGGAAGGCAGCATCAAGCGGGATTTTGTTGACCTAATCAATCTATTTCAGAGACAGAACATCTCTATAGATTCTGTGCAAAAGCAAACAAATATTGCATTCATTCTAAAAACGTACATAAAACTACATTATATATATATATACATATCTATAGATGGCAATAGGAAAGGTTGGATTCTAGGTATTTCGCTGACATGGAGCCTGAAAACCACTGGTGCTGCTAGAGGAAAAACAGTCGGGACTCTCAATTGCTGGTGACCGTTTCCCGTCATGGGACGTCCGACAGGTCGGTTTGTGAGACATGGTCGGCTTGTCAGGAGACTGGAGAACTTGGAGGCGTGGCAGGCCTGGTGGCTGGGTGGCTGTGAACCAACACCCACCGACCGAGTGGGTCTGGCTAAACCGACCGACTCACCCCGACCCGTGAGACTAGAGGAGCCTCGGTGGAGCCTCGGACACCGGTCTGTGGAGGCTTTCCGGCGCTGAGAAGCGACACCGCGTTTCACGAACTGCTGGGATACTAAGTAGATCCGATCCTTTGTGTTCTCATTATGTTCACCCATCTGGAACTGATGTGGAACTGCTGGTATAACAAATTAGGCCTGGAATCTGTCTATTTGTGGGGGTACACTCAGTTGAAATCATCGATGGTTACCTGGATGGGATGGGAACATGATGCACAATGGCCCCATTGACATCCCTGACCATGAAATCCGAATACCGGCATAGCATGATTGTTTCAAGGGGTGTACCAAGATTACCACACACCTCCCACGGATGATGCCGGAATAAGCGCCATAGCATGGCTAAGCGTCCATCTGTCGCCAGAATTCTTGTGCCATCTCTTCTTCCACGAAACGCAGCCTGGGTCCGGCGACGGCCAATCTTCGCGGGGACCAGCAGGTTCCGAGGGCTCTTGGGTAGGATCCCCACAGATCCTGCATAAAAACACCCAGTCGACCTTGCTTCCTCCACATTCCACATACTGGAGCATTGAGGATCCACCAGCTTGAGCTGATGAATGACAAACACACACACAACAAATCACCTAAAACCCCTTGTTCTTCCACCAGACATAACCGAAGGGGTCGATTTTCGGAAGAGCCGTCGGGTGCCATTGTCAACTCGCTAGGAGTTGAAACCGGAACTCGACAGGGATCTCTTATTTGGGGATACTGAGCGCCCACTATCAGCGACCATCAGTTTCCAAGAGCGAATCTGGTGGGTCATAACGGGTCATGGGTTGGAGTTAGATGTCAAACATCCTCAAACCTTTACCCTGTCTGCTTCCCGATCGATGTTCTGTTTGCGGCGCCAATCCGCGAAGTCTCACCACCGGAGGACGCTCGGGACTGCGGTTCCTGACGCCATCGGAGGGCGCTCTGCCCCATCCGATCGCCACATCCCAGTTGACTGGGCTGAAGAGTCCGGAGGATCCTTCAGATGATCCGTGGATCCTTCAGTTTGGCGATTTATATAGGGAATGGTTAGGGAGTTAGGGCTGGTGCATTGACATATCTATAAGGTCAAAAGCCCAAGGTTTTGAAAGAACTCCAGGATCTTAACACCTGCATTTTTCTGAAGCTCGAGTCAGCTCGTCCCAAGTGACTGGCTTGTTCCAAGATACTTGGCAAAGGCCCACGTGGCCTTCGCCACATCTGTGGCCCCAAAGCGATGGCAACAGCGGCAGCTGCAGGCACTCAGCTGGGAGAGGAGCCTCGTGGAGGAGGGGCACAAGGCACGAGATCAGAGAGAAGATCGTGCCCTCTCGGCCTTTTTGACACGCAAACGCAACAAGTGCCTTACTAGTAACAAGTGCCACGCTAGTAGTAACAGGTGCCTTACTAGTAGTAACAATAAGAATTAAAGTAAATTACTACTAGCTTCTTAGTTACTACTAGTAAGGCACTTGTTGCTCATGGGCGGTTTCAAGCATCTAACAGTTCAGCCGGTCATAGTTACCATAGCCTATAATTGGAGGACGCAACTGGAAGAGACTAGGGGAGCCCAGCGAAGAAGCTATACATTGCTGCGTCATATATCATCCCTAGGGATCCAAGTACCTCCTCAAAAGGTACTTGGACCATCTTGGACCCTCCAAACCCACCCTAAACACCTTCTCAGAGGGTACTTGGATCCTTCGGGAATATATATATATATATATATTAAACTTACTGTTATTGGACAGGATCGGTGGTGATGAAGACATGCAGAACTTTGGGACTTTCGGGAGCCTCGCCGAGATTCGGGTTGGCCTTCTCCATGCTGACCGACTGGATCCCGATGTTTTGCAAGTTTTGGCGTTCTCTCTCAAACAGTGACAGTGTAGCCGAAGCGAAGAAATCAAACGGGCGAACTTTCTGCACCAGCTCTAGGGATCCAAGTACCTTCTCAGAAGGTACTTGGACCCTCCAAACCTACATAACAGTGCCCCAAAATTACCTTCTGAGAAGGACTTGGATCCCTAGGGCAGTGAGGGGGCATATGCAACACAGGCAACACAGGATCCATTTGTGGGCGTCTGTGCTGAACTTGCCTGGCAGTTGACGTGCGATTTTTGTAACATTTGTCCTAGGGGCTTGGAGATTGCTTTGAGCTGGAATTTCCTTTGACAGGCTTGCGACGTCTGGCACTGCATTTCTGGAGACAAATCGCACAAATAGAGCCAGTTGTAGGAGGTCCTTGTCGGACCTTCGTGATTTGAAGCTCACCCTGGAGTTGTTTGAAGGAAAGCTGGCGAGTGGTGACATGGCGCAAAAGCGTGCTATATAACCCGTAGCAAATCCTCTTCTGGCGTGCTTTTGAGGCCCTACCTGTAGCAAAGGACGGCTTTCGCTTTGACCCACCCACTTAAGACACAATTCGCTTCACTGATGGCTCAGGGACAGATCAGTGCAAGCCCGACATTGCTCTGGCGGACTGCCAGGGATTGTCCAGTTCGGTTCCCAGGGCAGAAACCTACACAGTGCTTCGGGTCAAAAAAATGGACCGCAGCAGAGACAACATCACGCACCTTTGACAAAACGTGCTGGGTTGTGAAACCAGTGTGTGGTCGAAACGTTCCGGTGCATTCAGGCTCGCAAGTGTGGCGTGAGCCATCTTGAAAGTTCTGACTTGTGGGCCCACATTGTTTCGGAGCTTGAGTTCAGTGCAGGGATCTACTGTCCCATCCACAAGATTCCACAAGATCCCAAGCGATGTGCTTGAGGTAGAGTGCATGTCGCCCCCAAAGGGCCGGGAAAACAACTCCAAGGCTGATTTCGCAGCCACGCTGGCTGGGACTGGCTGGTACAGGCTGGCAGGCTGGCGCATTGGCGCAAGGTCACGTCCTTGCTTGAGAAACATTGAAACTTATAGACCGTTTCATAGACTCGGCCGCCCCCCAGGGGAAACTTATAGACCGTTTCATAGACTCAGCCGCCCCCCAGGGGGGGGGGTACTTTTGGCAGTCAAGACTATAGGGCAATCTCGATGTTTTATGTTTGATCGTTCGGTGCGGAGCCTCGATGGTACAGAAACGCTGGACACGTCTGCGGAGGGGTTTGGCAGCTCAATTGGGCATCGCTTTGGTCGAATGATAGCCTTAGGCCAGACTTTGGTTGCACTCTTGGCTACGAAACGGGCAGCCAGTGGTGGACCTCAGTTCGGAGTTTGGAGTTACTCGTTGAGGTGGTGAGGGTAGCTGCCATCCTTGGCATGCTGAAGATTTTGCTGTTTTTTCTTTTGAAGAGGTTGCTCGGATGGCCACTGTTCACAATGCCGATTGGCGCTAGCGCGCCCACGAGGAAACCAGGGTCGATGCATGTCGCTGCGACTCTGAACAGTCCGAATTTGGCAGTGCGTGTTTGTTGTTCTTTGACCGTCACCCTTCAGAAGGCAACACGCACACACACACACACATACACGTGACACACACACACACACACATATAATAAAGAGGGGGGGCTCCGAAGCAATGAAGAAAGCCGTTGCACAGGCACATAAGAATTCAACAAACATATCCCATATACTCCATGTATGCCTACATTGACCCCTCAAACCACCCCAATGTAGGCATATATGGCATACATGGAGTGTCTGGGTATTGTGTGTGTCCATCTTGTCATCGTAGTTGCAACACATTGACAAAGCTAGACATCTTAAGACTTGCTTGCTGTCTAGAGCCCTGACATGCGGGTGTCACATTCACATGCAAGTCAAGCAATTGGTGTGTCATACTCAAATCTGATTCGATAACTTAAATCTGTTTGGTGGGGGTTACATCGTTTGGGTCATCCATTCATTTGACAACAAATGACAACAAAATATCATTCTTCCAGATCCCACTTACGCATCCCGCCTGTGATCGCCGTAGAGCAGCTTGGCTGCACTGTAGGCGAGCATCGACAAGCCCCTGGGCTCCAAGAAATCCATGGAACTCAGCAGCCGCTCAACCACTTCGTAGAAGACCTCCGGAAGGTTCTCGGCGGCTCCTGCACTGTTCAGCATGGTAGCCGTGGTAGCCGAAGACCGCACTGTGTTCGTTTTGCTGTATAACTCCCTGAATCCGTTGTGGAGAAGCAGCAGATCTTTCCCATCGACATTCGCCTGATTTCACCACAAAGAACCCAAAACTAGCCACAAATAGTGACATAATGTTACATAGATGCAGAATCTGAGTTTGAGATTGAGTATGCCTGAAACCAAGTCCCAAACAGGATATCACACAGGGGTCCTTCATCAATCTTCGCGGCCGACGTAAAAGCCACCACCAGGTTTCCTGACGACTCACACAGCTGCCGGTCACCAAAGTTGGAATAGAAGGCTATGGAAGGTCACCTTCCATGGAAGTGGATGGCATGGTCCCATGAAAGTCATGGAAGACTGTCCTCTACCAAAACACCAGGGGTTGTCCTCAGCCTTCTGGTGTGATGTGATGGTTGGTGAGTTGGAAAAATAACAAATACAAAGAGACTCACAGTAACTGGCGCTGGGTTTCAAGGATCCTGGCTGGTCCTCGAAAGGACCGCGTTGACTTTGACACATTCTTTGTTTTGTCTTGCTTCTTGCTTCTTGCTTCCTGCTTCCTGCTTCTTGCTGTTGTTGTTGTTGTTGTTGTCGTTGTTCAACAAGTCGCAAGCCGCACCAAGGCGCAGAAGCGGACAGAAGTGGTACGAACCAAAATTGGGATCCAACATTCCCAGACTTGAAACATCTATGGACAAATCATGACAAATCAAACAAAGTGAGCAACACGCCTGCCATCATGTGGTGAACATCGCGAGTCATCCCGGAGCGAGTCAGGTTCCATTCGGATGCTCCATCGAGCATCGAAGCCTGGAGCCTCTTGTTTTGGTGGGATAGCCAGGTGCCTGACTGGGTGCCTGGGTGACCAAACAAACGGGTTGGCCTGGGTGACCAGACCGAGGTCACCAGGAATCCAGGTCAACTCGCGAAACACCAAGATCCAGTAGACCCTTAAAACATCTTAAAACCATCTCAAAACCACCCCAATGTAGGTGAATATGCAATAGATTCTCCGGGCTAGAACCAACAATTCAATGGAATGACTGCCAAGCACCTGGCTATGGCTCAGCAAAAGGCACGACATGCTAATTTGCTCAAATTGGCTCAACATGGGTTCGCCCTCGGTCGAAAATTGGAGCCGTCGGTGGATATGCTTCCCTTCGCATCACTCCGGGCCTTTGAAGTCCTTGGAATTCTTGAATTGCTATACTGGTGAACCCCCCCCAAAAACATCTCTGCACCAGCACCACCTGATTTGCAGGGCATATATTAGCTATATCGACTGGACATCTATATCCCACCAGCGTCGTTCGTTCATGGACTCGAACGATTGATCCGCTCCGCCCGCTCCGCCTGTGTCGAAGTGCGGCAGATGCTGTGCCACGAAGCGCCACAGCGCCTGCAGCAGTGGTGAGTTTCACACGGCGTTGTTCGTTCGTTCGACTGTGGTGGGGGGATGTTTGAGAACGAACCCAGGTGGATGTTGACAACAAGAACATCCTGTTGGATATCCAGCCACCCTGTTTATCTTGTTTTGTTATGTGTTTTGTTTGTTCAAAGAGGTGCCGGGATGAAGTTCTACATGTTCTACACATATATATTCTCCCTTTTGGTCACAAGATCTTCTCACGTTCAAAAAAGAACACGCCGTTCTTTTCCTGTTCAGACGGGGTCTTCAGTCGACCGACCGAGCTCGCTCGCCTGGCCTGGAGGTTCGGAGCCTCCCGGAGCTGTCGGTCCACCTGAGGAGGCGGGGCACCGCGACCCGAGGAGGGCGGGAGTCGAAGGGGTTTTGGGTGTTTTTAATGGACACCCCTATCACCTCTTAAGGAGCTAAGGAGTTAAACACCCCTACAAAGGGGCCCAGGTATAGTGTGTTGGAAAAAATGCAAACCTATGGAGACCCAGAAAGGATTCGTGGACTGGGTCTTTTCCTCTTGCGGCCATCTACTCAGTCATGCATGTTAACGGTTTTGGGTCTCGGAAATGGTGGGTGATGGTGGGTAACTAGTTTTTCAGATGCCGTCGGGCCATCTTCAGTCAAGGAAGGAAGATCCAAAGGCTCAATAGGACTTGTCTTGGGAACAGGGCACGGGCATGCACGGGCTAGCTACTGACCATGAGTGACTATGATGGAAACTGGACTCCTTTGGTATATAATATCTGAGCCAATAATTCTCCAAAAGGAAAACTGCACATAAGCAGCATGCCCCTCTTAGACTCAGGTTCAACGAAAACATGGCTTCTAGATATAGATAGTAGGTTGGAGGCCATCGCCAATAGGTTGGAGGCCATTGCTAATAGAGTCCTTTCATGGCTTTCTGCAGGTTCTTGCCTCGTGGTCACCCGGGATGCCGCACCTCCAAAGCCTCTTTGGGGCGCCGCCCAGTGGTCGAATAGATGGGCGGCGCAGACGGCTTGGCGCTTGGGAAGTAGCCAGGAGAGTAGAAACTGATCTTCCCGTTGCCTGGCGTTGGTTCAAACGCCACAACGCGACAACGGGTTTGGCAGCCAAGAGACAATAGGATGCGAACCACGGAACCGGAACCGAACCTCTGCACTTTGACTCTTCAGATATACTATGTTCAGCAATATATAGGCTAGAACGGGCTAGAACCATGTTGGCTTTATTATATAGTCTTATAGGACCTCTTTCTTATAGGCTATCTTAAATGGTCTATTATCGGTGATCTTCGGGGGGATCTCCATGTCTGGATCCTCCGCTTGGCTTTTCCCGTTTGACCGACGGGTCGGTGGCCTTCGACCCCTTTAAGGAGCGAAAGTAGCCACCCCGAAGTCCGCGACCTGGATCCACCCGGAACCAAATCCGGAGCTGCTTCAAAGGGGGCCCAGAGCAACATTGAGAAAAGCCCGGCTGAAATCTCACCTGCACTGCAACGAGGTTTGGGCGTCAAGCTACCACGAGGCTTCGACCAATCCCGCGCGTCCACGTGTTGCGCCTGAGCCATTGGACTTTTGCATCGCATGGCCCGTGGTGTGAGTCGAATAGGACAGGTGAGTTGGGCTCGAGTGAGTGAGTCATGTCGCTTCCTTTTTGGTGGTTTCGGGTGGGGAGGAGGTCTTGATGTCTGAATCTGGCATGCCTGCTGCTCGGAACAGCCTGGGAGTTGCCTCTGGTTTCTCATGAAAGCCCACGTGTTGAGGCATATAATTGATGTCCTGATTTGCAAGACAGTAGCTTGAAGCTGCGGAAGCGCTTGACTGAAATGTCAACCACAACAACAAGTATCGAATTATATTTGTATCATATCGATTTCATCCACATTATGGCCGCTGAAGTCCTTAGTTAGGTTTTTGTCTGCTTCAGAATCATCGGAAAATGAGACTGGCGACGACTGGCGACAAGTCCTGCAGCGATCCTGAACCAGGAAGATGTTGTTTGTGTCACAAACGTCTTCCTCTCTCATCTCATCTCTATCTGCTGGTCTTCGAGCAAAAATCGTGGACAAGTACCATGACTCTGACTAAAATCGCGTAGAACCCCCACGGAATCCTAGGGATCTACATACCTTCTCAAAAGGTACGACTGTACCTCCAAAGCTACATCAATATGTAAAAGCATCTCCAATTGCCCTCATCACCCTCTGCTCAGGGTGTGTGGATCCATAGGGAAACAAAGGATCATGTCGTCGATGTTTTCTGCAGGATGTGCTTTCTCATCTTCTCCGGACACATGGGCTGCTTTAGCCGGTCAACGGGAAGGGGGGGCTGACCATGACCATGCCCAGTAGCTTCCCCGAACCGTGGTTATTGTTCTATTGAGTACATTACTCACATATTGAAGAATTATGAAGAATTCTGATGTCTGACTTCGTGGATTCAACCTCCGTTACATCAGATGTGCATGTCGATTCAATGTCTGCAACAAACTGGCTTCAAAGTTGCCAGGATTTTTGAGCCCGACGGGGTAGCAAAAAAGATGATAAAATGTGAGTTTTTAACTCTTCCATTCCCATGGGACTTCGACGTTCACACGCTCTGTCCCAGTGCGCTCTTCACCCCGTGGTGTCACCGTGGTGTCGCCGTTTCTTACATAAGCGTGTGCGACGAAAGTAGGGTGGCTGGATCCTCAGGAATCTGCCGTGGGGGATCCAGCCACCCTACTTTCGTCGCACCAGTCAGTTGTTTTGGGTCCGCTGAACCGAGGCTCCTTCACACCGAGGCTGGTGGAAGTGTGATGCCGATTCGGTGCCGACAGGGTCAACGGAAGCCACAGCCGTGCTCTTCAGGTCTTCAAATGAACAGCTCTTCTCAGCGGAAACAAAAGGAGCTGGGACCACCAAACAAACCCATCCAAATATAATGAAGTTAAACTGAAGGCAACACCGCACCACAAACACAATGTTCAAACATCTATCAGAACTTCAAGAAAATAAAAGTGCGGAGTGTGGTAGGAAAAAAAAGAAAAGCACACACACAAACAAACTGAACCATGGCCTAACTTATAAACTCGCCTCCTGAAAGTATGGGGCAACGTATGGGGCCGGTTCGTGGACAAGGGGTCTAATTTGTTGCAACACATTTACATGATTTGATACAAAAGTCCACAGGTCATGGCTGGGCGTCCAACAAACCCAATTAACCAATGCTTTCATGGGCGTACACTGCTTCGTTGGCCACGAAGAATTTTCGCGGCAGAGTGAACCCGCCCGTTTCAGCGAGGGCAGAAAGAGGGATGGCGCTTGGAAAGCCTTGGCAAGCTTGCTTCTAACTATTCGCTCCAATATTTTTCTAAGCCCCAGACCCCCCAGATCTGGTCTGCTGTTGTGTTGGGGAACCGTGGCTTGACATCATCCACAACATGAGCTCAACGACAAAACATGTTCACCACTGGAGCCAGATGCCGCCACTGGAGCACTGGCGGAGCCAGGCACTGGTAGGGTCCTTCCACTCCTTTGCTGTTCCAAAGCAATTGCAAAGGACGAGCAGCCCAAACGATCCCAAACGACTGGTACGTGTACCTCGCCGATGTCTCTCATGTCTGGCTTGCAGGTGGCGTTAGCCTCTTTGTTTTATCCTTCTGTCAGAGACAATGGCCTTTCCAAGAGCTGTTTCCAAAAGCCAAACAGTCTGGCTGCATTGAAGTGCGATCAGAAATTATACTCCCTGAACAACTTTTGTTTGTTGAGGAAAATCGTATTCTAGGAGGCTGTTATCCACTTTCATGATTGTTGGAACGAGGGTAAATCTCAATACCCCTTTTGGTTGCAGTTTCACATGACAAACATCCCAACCTCCAGAGAAATGTCGCGTGTATTTATGTATTTTAACTTGTGTATTCATAGCTATTTTAGCTGCCTTCTGTCCCAACGATGCTACACTGGGTGAGCAGGGCTAGTTCCGAGTGCCGTGGAGCATCAGGGTTTATCATCCTCAATCGTTAAGAGGACAAACAAAACAACGTCATTGTCCAACTGCAACAACAAATGTGGCCAACTCACAAACCGACAAAGTAGGCCAAACCGGAAGCACATATAACAAAATATAACTAGTTACTTGTGTTACTTCTGCGCCCACCAATCCCTCTTAGGCCCACAAATAGGCGCGGCCGTCCGCGCCGGCGGTGAAAAGCCAGGGCTGATGCGGGTGCCATGCACAGGACAAGACGCCAAAGCCCTCGGACTGGGGTGATGTTGGGTGTCTGCAGGGGCCAGGCGAGTGAACCCAGGCGGTCATGAAGCGATGGATCGTTGGCGCTGAACGAAAACGGAGTAAATCGATTAAGCCCTTGTTCGTGATGATTCATGTGCGCACAGCTGGATCTTGACATCTTGGGCCAGCCTGTCTTTTAAACATGTCAAAAGGCTTCCATTGAACTTGTACGGATTAATCTGGTTTGCCACTGAGTGTTGAACCCTGACAAGTGATCCTAGAACAGATCCTGGACCCATCTCGATCCTATCATCAAGCACTTGCCGGTAACCGCTGGAGACAATGACAGACATGTCTCACATTCCTGCACCAGAACCCGCTTCAAGAATTCTTGGATGATGAACCCTTGGTTGAAACAGCATGTCGAACGATGGTTCCGCCCCAACAAATCCAGCGAACGATGAACACGTCCGACTTCTCGATGCCAAACACCCTAACGTTGATCCGGGCCGTTCGTCCCTCTTCCGCCGTGAAACCGCCCAAACCGACCGGACCCTTCGTCGCCTCCAAAACCCGGACCGTGGGGACCGGACCAGTGGACCGGTCCAGCCCGCACTCCCATGGAGCTCAGTCCCATGGAGTGGTGACAGTCCCATGGAGTGGTGACATGTCGATTGACTCCAGTAGTACTAGTCTCATTTGGGTGGTTGAGCTGGTACAAGATTGACTCCATGTATGTCTCTCTAGTCTCATTTGGGTGGTTCACCTGGGAGAAAAAAATGGCAGTCGTCCCATGGAGGAGTTGAGCTTCCCACACAACCCGTGGAGAACCCACAAAGGGACGACGTGTTCCGCCCTTCCGCGGCGATCGCCTGATTCACCATGTGATCCCGGAGGCGCTTCACCGGCACAATCATCGGGCTCTGCATCAGGTCTGAGAAGACCTCTAGGAAAGATGTCTCAGGTCAATGAAATGCATACATACATATACATATATATATACATAACGAACTACTATAAGAAACATATAGAACAATATAAGCACGATGAAGCACAAATCAAAACACCCATCAATCAATCGGCAGTCTCTCTACCCACCTTGGCATGTAGGATGCTGACGGTGGCATCGTCCGAGCAAGCGGCCAGCAGCGGGAACTTGCCCGGATGAAACCTCGGTGGCGCGTTCCATCGGTTCACACGGTGTCGAAGCAGGTTCGGTCCGATCGGCCAAGCGGAGATCCCCAAAAAAGCCCAGACACGACTCATGGGACTGCCATATATGCCGATCAGTTGGGGTGGGCCATGAGGGGTCAATGGGGCGGCATATATGGCAGTCCCATGGAGTATATGGGACACGTGAAAGATCATCCCGCCCTATACCATACAACTACCCTTAAAAAGAAACGACCCGGGGTCTCCAGACAGGACACCCAAATGGTCGGATGTACCAACCTTCGAAACAAAGGTATTATTAGGCTTTGTGGGCCCTACATGCCCCCCAGTCTCCCAGTCTCACCCACCTTCCAGTCTCCCTCCCACTCTCCACGAAGACCTTGAGGTAGATGATGTTCTTGCAAAAACACAAATAGCTATAGAATGCTACTATTGATAGATCTATATAGCAACTGGATTGAGTAATGATTCGTTCAACCATGTCCAAGAAAAACTATTTACATCTATTTACTCAATCCACATGTCCAAGTGTGATGGATCCAAGTTCTCTCAGAAGGTACTTGGACCAATCACCCGGGTGTTCCCCGTTCCTCCTTACATAGTGTCTTTCTGTGGACGGTCTCCACTCCCCGCGTCAAGTGGCGTCGCACACCGCACCGCCTTGTCATGATACTGCAGTGTCCTGAAACAGTCGACAGTGACAGCGTTTCGGAAAAACAAACAGGTTTATTTAAAACATATAATTATAAATGGATTCAGAAAAGATTACATGTTCTACACATGCTGCAAGCACGTACGAAGAAAAACCACGTGCCGGGCCCATGTCACGTAGTGTTCACAGCTGTTCACAAGCTTTCACAACTACCCAACCAGCTCACCAGGTTTGTGATTAAATGCTGACCTCTTTCTAGCACATGAACTGGTCACGTGTTTCTCAAACACACAAGGAGATGGTCTCGACGTGTTGAAGATTGTTGAAGTACTTGTTTAGAGGTCATGAATTCTACACTTGCAAAGGGCTTGCCAATGAGCCTCCTGAGATTCATCTGCATTTCCATATATAGCTTAAACTCCCTATCAAAACTATGTGCTCAGTGACCGGTATTTCTTCATGACCGTTCCACATCAGGGACTTCGCTGGCCTGCATTCTCCTGTCCTGTTCCTTCGTTGGTCACGCGGGATGAGCTCTGCGCAGTCCACGAGTTCGTGAGCGTGTGAGCGTGTGCGCTCGTTTTCTGCGCCAAGATGCTTATATGGCTTTGACGCAAAATCCAGATCCCACCACACCTGATGCCAGGTGACGTCAGCCAGGGTCGGCCCAAGGTGCAGCTTGGAAACCGCATGAGACCAGCAAGGTGTGCGGTGTAGGAGTTGACAACAACACCTTGGCCTTGAAGGACTTAAAGCGTCCTCTGGTTTTAGGGCTTGCACCCACTTCGGTCACATGTTCTCAGACCTCCTGCATCTGCACATCGCATCTGCATGTCTTTTGAACCTCGCGTGGTCGTTTTACACCCAGTGGCTCCACTCAATACTAGCTCTCCAACCAGGCTCCACCCCCAACGTGGAGCTTCATCCTCTGTTGCAAAAGAACAACCTCTGAGCCACGTTCCCAAATCCTCACGTGTTTTTAGTGGATCCCAGGTTACTGCTAAAAGAAAACAGTCCTTGTTCGGTCGATTGTTTCAGTCGAACTGGAACCACTGGGACACCTAGCTGCTAGCTGAAACTGCAACCAAATCATTGTTACGTGGATGGCACCACCTACAAGTATTCGGTCTTCGGATTTCATGTCCATCCTTCAGTATATGCCAAATGGACTGTATCAAGGATCCTGACGAGCCATTTTCATCCTTTGTCAACATCAGGACCCTCCAGAAACCAACGGCAGATCGGTAGTGGTGGATATTTGGCGTATCCCGGCTACCTCCGGGTGAAGGAGCAGGAGTCCTCAACCAGTTCGGGACGTCATACCTAAACCATCGTTGGGGTTTCGGGGGGGAGCTGGGTTCCGATCTTCTCGGGAGCGGTCACGAAGCGAACCGAACGTCACGTTTGTGCATCGAAACACGAACGGTTCGCGTTCAAAGCTCCGAACTCGTAAGGCACCGAAGCGGTTCGGTTTCGCTACGTGATGCACGCTTGTTACTACCAGCAGTCACAAGACGGGGCACTATCCATGAAGGCTAGGGGTGCCCATGATGCACTCACTTAGAGACTAAATACCACCCCTTTGTGACTCCTGCCTTCTAAACCTAAAACCTTCTAAAAAGCAGTGTTTCGGAAAAAACCCGAAGATTCACTCAAAAACCAGGTTTTGGTGTTTGGGGTGTGATGTTGGGTCAACGGAACGCGCTTGCAGCAGCTGCTCATGTGATTTTGCTGCTGCTGGTGCTCAATCCGGTGATCGATCGCCTGCAAACATTGAACGCGCGGATCCCAAGTGAATTAAGGAGGGCTCACTTAATGTATCCAGCTTCTTTGAAGTGTGCGTATGCAGCAGCTAGAGATCTTTGGAGGGTTCGAGTCACTGCCAAACGGGATGAAACACGACGTGACACGCGACTCGGCTTCCCAATGAAATCCTCTGCCATCTGGCAGCTCCAAATTAATGGATTAATGCAGACACCTGCTGCTGCTACTTGGTCCTCCATCAAAAAGAAAATTTCATGTAATCTATGCAAGTTGGGCATAAATGGAAACAATGGCCGCCGGGCTTGGAACGACTGGTAAGCGACACGGCCATTCAGCTTCAAGAATTCGAAGCCGTGACGCGCGATCTGCTGGGCCTTTGGCCCCGGGATCCAAACTCCTTCTTTGTAAATCTTGGAAAAGAATTGATCCACCTCTATGGCAGCCAGAAAACAAATGTGAAGCAAAGTGCCTCGTATGTTTGGCTCCCTTCCACGACAAAACTCAATGATGAAGCGGAGTAGGCACAGCGTGGTGCTTCCCTTGGACCAGCCTCCGCTGGGAAAGTCCGTGGCCTGCAGCCACTTGATCGTCTCCTGTGAGAGCTTTTTGATGTATGGGCGTTGCTTCCGCAAACGACACCAATCAAAGAAAGCATCGCGCAAACTCTCAAACCGCTTTGGCACTGAAGTGCCTGGGAGAAGTTCAGCCACCAACACTAGTGTCGATGAGACGAACACCTTGCCAGCACCCAGATGAAATCCATGAAAAAGGTCTAGACCAATCATTGATGTTGGCAGGTTTGCATCATGTGGCAACTGGAGAAAGACTGGATCCTCCAAAAACGGAGATACTTGCCCAATAGTAGACCTCCATCTTGGACAAGAGCTTTCAAAATCCTCGAAAGGATACCCATTTTGATCTGCAAGGCAATTGTGGCAAATCCCTTTAGGAGGTGCCTTGGAAGTCGGTTGTTTTGCAGCCGAGCCAAATGTTCGTCCCAAATGAAATGATTTTTGATGGAAAGGCCAGTCACCAACAATGTATAACACAACGAGCCAATGCTTTTGGCCTTGGAGTGACATGACCCCGTTGGTCAGAATCTCGTTGAAATCATCCACGACTGCCTCTGCGAGCCTGTCATAGGCAGTCCCATCCCCATACAGGCTCTTAGGCAAAACCCCTAAAAGCCATCTAGTTGCCCAGGTGTTGCCAACAAAGTTGATGTCTTGCTTTGCATAGTCGGTCTCTAGTGAAGCTCTGCGGTTCCTCACATTGCTTCCTCTGCCAAGGATGCTGCTTGCATTCAATATCATGATTGCTGTTTTTTTTTGGTACGTCCCTCATCCCCATGTACCACAAAAGCAGCAGTTCTTCGCAAGGACAAGACCCCATCATCGGCCATGCGAAAAACCTGGTGGTTTGGCATGATCTTCCTAAAGTTGGTCCAGAAAGCAGACCACTGCGCCTCGCATCGAGAATCATCAGGGGCATCAAGGCCACTGAAGGTGTGCCACAGGTTTAAGCTCATCATGAACTTAAGCCACGAGCTCGGAAGTAGAACTGGGATCTCAACATCCTTCGAAATTTGAACCGGGGTCAACTCAATTGGCAAAGTGAGATTGTAGACCTTCCCAAGTCTTTGCACATCTCTCTCGGAATGAGACAGTGAGCACTTGGCCAGCACCCCTACTGTTGAAACAGCAGCTTCTGGCACTTCTTCAATCACCGCACGAGCCGCCCTGATAGTAGAGGTGCAAGGGGCCTTGGCCAGTCAGTGAGCTGAAAACTTACGAGGTAACCATTATGCATGTTGAGAAGTCGAAAACCACGGACCAAATAACTTCACAGATTTGCTCCGTCGCTTGCAAACTTTCACTGTCATACACTGGCTGGTGAGAGACTGAAGACTTTTGACCTTTGCTTTCTCAAGCGTGACCAGAAAACATATTATCACGTTCTTTGTGAACGCTGGTGCACCCCCACGAATTGTTTGAATTGATGTCGGTAAAAGCAGGCTAGAAATTAGGCTGGCTTTACTTTGAAGCTTCTGTACACAACATATGTCATGTACGCTACTGAGGTGTCATCATGTCGCACCGAATCACCACCTCGACGTACATTTCGGCAGCCAGGCTGGCCTCATCCGGGCGTGACAGAAGTGGGATTGAGGGCATCAAGAATTCGATCGGACATGCGTTTGGGTGCAAGGCATAGCAGGCACAATACTCACCAAGATCTCACACTAAATGCTTGCAGGGCACCTTCATAGCGATCAATGAGACAGGCTTCAAGCATCGCTGGACTCCATGGTTCATTGGAGACAAACAAGATTTCCATACGTTCCCATTTGTCACGTTCCCACCTGTAGCCGTATTTTCGGTTTTCCCATCGAAGCACTGGGTTGGAAGTGAAGCCAAACTTGAACACAAGCGGATACCAGCGCTCAAAAATGGTAGCAACAACCTGGAGCGAATGTTGCAAAACAACACCTGCTGTGGTGGCTTTGATCGGGAGCCAAAGTGAGATCTTGTCATGCTCTTCAATCTCTTCCAACAAAGAACAAACATCTGGGCTCCTCATTGTATCACCCACATGGCTTTGCCATGAGACCACAGATTTCCTAAGTGGGGTTGGACAAGTGCAAATCTTCTCCGTAGCCATCGCGTGAGAATCTTCTTGACCTTTTACAGGCCAAGGAAACGGACAATCTTCAACCTGAGCTTCATGCGTGCCGGGCACCAAGTGAAAAGCGAAGATCGATTTATTCAATCAGGTTTGCATGCACTGCAAACTTTCCCTCATTTATTCATGGTGAGAGGCTGAGCGATGGCAAGTGAGCAGTTCCAACAACTCCTCCTCTGGGGTTTCCATAGCAAATGGCGGTCCACCGCTTGAAAATTATCATTGACTTGAGCCCCCAAAATCTTGTTCACAAAGATGGCTTCGCATGTCACAGTCCAGACTTCAAGAACACAGCTGCGGTTTCATGTTGAGGTTCGGACACCGTCAGCTACATCTCGTATCCACCGGCGAAGACTTGGTCCGGCACCTGGCACGGTCAGAGATCACAGGAGTCGGGACCAGTGAGGGGGGACTTGGGTTGCAGGGTGCAAATGAAAGAGATGCCACCAATGATAGCAAAACTCCCCATTGTATGGTTTAAGCTTTAATGCACAAAGCCTTTTCACACGTAGCGGCTCGTGTGGAGTTCACAAAACCCTGGTCTTTTCGACCCCAGTGTTCAACATCAACAGGTTTGCCACTGAGAATCTTAAAGCAAACCCGATTGAAAGTCACCCCGCTGATGGGCTGTGTCGTGAACACAGCGATCAGCCCCGCAAACAAAATCCAGCCACCATCAAGCTGAAACTACTGAGAATGCTTGCGTTTGCCTTTGGCCTTCGACTTGGATTTTCCAGCGGCCTTTGCCGCGGCAGCCTTGGCCGCGGCCGCCTTTGCTTTTGCACTCTCACCCCCTTCCGCAGGAGACGATTTCTGGAAAAACTTCTTGGCATTCCTGCGTGCGCAAAAGTTCTTCAGGGTTCAGAAGCAACTGCTTAGTTGGAGTCGGGTTTTGCTGATGATTGTAAGGCCTGACTTTCAACTCAGCTGCCGTGGCCCGAGATGACCTCAACAGCTGACGACTTGATTGGTTATCATGTAGATCAAACTGCTAGTGCCTATATATCCAATGAGATTTCAAGGTAAGGATACGGTTCCAAACTGGTTCAGTCAATGCCTTTTGTAACCAAAACATGCTGGGAATCAAACACCATGGTTGCCTCCCTCATTTTCTTCTCAGCGTCCGCCCACCACCTGAGCGTGGAAAGCAGAACATAATAGTAAACATGGTTAATGTAGATCGTCAAGAC